GTCCGTCATTCCCACAAGACGTTGGTAAAAAAGTAACCCAAGAGTTGGCGGTGGGTGGTAATGATTAGCTGCCTTCCCACTAGTCTTACACTGCTAAATTAGGGACGGCTAGCGCAGATGGCTCTAGTGTAGCTGAAGGGATCCATATGACCCCAAAAGCTTTTGGAATACATTTTTCTAAACAATGTTCTTGTGGGCCTTTGACTTTGCCGGTTACATGGTCCCCTATAACATATAAGACACACACAAAGTGTAAAGAAAAATGTTACAGTTAATCTCATTAATTATTTTCTGAGTTCCCCATGTATTTTGAGTAGAAAATAAATGATTTCAGCGAATTTGTTTATAAAATTACTCGATATGATATAATACGTAAACCTCACGAGTAGCAAGAAAAAAACAACACTAAGGTGTATTATTTACACCGTAAACCGTTTGCCTATGAAGGTTACATGAAGTTGTGATAATATTTATGTATATTTATGTTGATCCATACATCTGTATATATATATAATGTTAATAAGATGTCACTGACAAAACTTTGGGCTGAAGTTTTTGCTATATTTTGCATCGAATATTAAATATATCTAAATATTACTTTGAAAGTTCAAGATGTACAATTGTCAGGTTTATAGCATAAAAGATACAGTTTTAACCATCTGTGTTGTAATATCGAAGTGTACCTGTTGTTTCGTAGATGTAGTTTAATTTCTCTAGTTAGAGGAAATATGCTGTACAGGTGTTCTATTTACGTGTGCAATATTTATTTCACAGGACTAAAGGATAGTAGTGTTAATATGATCTACAGCTATGTTGGGATAATGAACTTTGTTAAGTGCAGACGTGTATAAGAAACAGTGAGTTGCAAAAACCTACAGCCCGAAGCTAATTAATAATGCTGTGTATTAAGGTTTTAAGTGACATTTGTTTAGCACTTAGGGCAAGGAGAGAAGAGCGACTGTTTGACAACTCACTTATTCATAGAGTAAGTAGCATCACAACTGTCTTCATCATCATAGTTTACAACCGAGTTCCAGAAAACTGTAGGAAATGTATTACTCTATTCATCAAGTTGGCAGATTATTCAACTATTTTAGCAGCCAGCTATATTTTTAAAGTGTTAGTGGTGGTATACATTGTGGCTGTTTAGATAGCCTGTTTCATGAAATTCTGATCTGGTTTTGTTGAATTCCATAGTAGGAAATGGGCCATCTTTATTGTAATTTGTGGTTGTAACTACAGTAACACTTATTATTTATAGACAACACTGAATGTAGTTTCTGATTATTTGGAGTTAACTCCAATTGTCAAATTACCTCCATCATCAAGTCATTCGAGGATGATGGTTCACATGATTTGATGATTTTCAAAGTCAAATCTATCCCATGCTTAGACGGCACAGAAGAACTGATGTTGGACTCTGGTTTCAATGGCATGAGCGGATGAGAAACAAATGGGATGAAGCGCCTTGCTCAAGGACACAACAACATGTTGAGAGCAAGTCTTGAAGTCATAAATTTCTGACTGCGAGTATTTGGTGATTGAGGGAACTTCAGTGGAAGTGAATCTAATGGACCACCTTCCAAAACTCCAGCTATAGTATCAATAGCTCTCACGGATAAACTATCTTCCACCAGCTGGTCTAGAGAGCCGAATTCTATCTTTAGTGCGACTATCAACATATCCAGACTACATGAACGAGTGATGGTGTGCCTTATTCAAGGATACTAGGTGCTATAGCATTGTAGGGCTGATATGTGGCTCCGTGTCCTGCTCGATCACAAACTCTCAGGTTTGAAGAAGTTTACTTTTTAGTCAAGCAGAAAACAAGTAATTTGTACAAAATAACTTCTCCAAATTCTGATAAAGTTAAGGCCAACAACATCTGCTCTATTTAAAGTGAAGGCTATTGCCTTGCCACAGTGCTGTCGTTAGACTCTGTCATTCATTACCGTGCAGCTGCTTCTTAAGAGGAACTAAGAATTTTAGTAAGACTAGATTTCCAGGATATGAGAAGACTATATCAAAATATTGCAAGGAAAGGACTATAGAAGAAGACAGTGGAAATTGTCCAAAGCTAAGGCTGAAGTATAGAAATTTTACAGGCCTGGCAGGACCTACAGAGAGCTAGAGAGACCCAGGTCCGGAATATGGATATGGTGAATATAGCGTGGTTGGAATACTATTATTGTACACTCTGTATAAAGAATGTAATATTTAAAAACATGATAGACCTAACACTAATGGGCCATGACAATAAAACTATAATCATGCTTCCCCATCTTGTAAAACGCATTTACACCATAACAATTGTTGTTGTAATACATAGCTTATATAAGTAGTGCTCCGACTTATACTGCGTTTGTTGTATCCCAGACGGCCTAAAGAGCTCTGGATTGAGCAAAAGGCGTCGTCGGCAATAAATACGGCGCACATAGCGTGGTTGAAATACTATTATCATACACCACTCTTCTAATTCTTGAAAATTCCTAAGGGACTAGATGAAGAATGTAGTGTTTAAAAATGTAATAGGCCTAATATTAATGTCTTATGACAAGTATAATTATAACTACGCTTCGCCAACTTGTAAAAAGCGTTCATATCATAACAACTGTTGTTGTACCAAACGGCGTATATGAATAGTGTTCCAACCACTACTGCGTTTGTTGTATCCCTTCTGGCATAAGAAACTCCGAATGGAGCGAAACGATTCGTTGGGAATGGATATGGCGAATATAATGTGGTTGGAATACTATCATTATACATTATTATAATTTTTGAAAATCCCTGAGAAACTAGATAAAGAAGGTAGTGTTTAAAAGCATATTAGGCCTAATACCAATGTCAAGTATATTTCTAGATAATGATTTAATTATGTTTTTTCTTTTAACAAGTTGTTAATTTTAAGTATTTTCTTGTTTTTGCTCTAACAGGAAAAATACATTTTGCCTGAAGTTTCTTCGTTTTTGTTTTGTTCTGACTGTACGCTTATCTCCTGAGAACACAACGAAACTTTCGTTTTAATATTTCATTAAAATATTGTTTTTTCAACAATTTGATTATATAATATTACATGACTGAACTTTCATGTAGAATTATACACGGACTTTTCTCTACGTTAAGATACTTTTATGTGCGAGCTTTCGATCCCCTTACCGGAACCTTCATCGGGCAACAATGCACTGAGTGATAAAATTCGTTAAACTGTAAAACACTGCTTTAAAATAGGTATCTAGGCAACAGTCGTAAGGATAACTGACATCTGGTATTAAAGATATTAAACATATGGAATTATGATGAATATAGAATATAAATCGATTGCTTTGTTGCTCGATGAAGGCTACGTTAAGAGGATTCGGAAGCTCGCAAATAAAAAATATTTTAACGTAGAGAAAAGTCCGTCTATAATTCTACATATTAATTCACCTACATTATGAGTTAAAATGACTGAACCTTCAAGTTAATAGCCAGGCAAAGACAGGTGGTTTGGGCGCTTGATTCGCAATCTGAGGGTCGCGGGTTCGAATCGTCGTTCCACTAAACATGCTCGCCCCAGTTGTGGGGACGTTATATGTGACGGTCAATCCCACTATTTGTTGGTAAAAAAGTAGCCCAAGAATTGGCGGTGGGTGACGATGACTAGTTTCCTTCCCTCTAGTCTTTCACTGCTAGATTATGGATGGCTAGCGCAGATAGCCCTCGTGTAGCTTTGCGCGAAATTCAAAACAAAGTGTTGCGTCATCCAGATCACATGACTATTCTCACGCCCTCTAGTTTCTAGAACTATCTTGTTCCATCACGAATGCCCTAGCATTTACTAGATAGGGTAGTCTGGTATATATAAGAGGGTGACAACGTGACGCGGGAATGTGTGCGTGTAGACAGTGAGTAAGTGATCTGCAGTCGGAAGTATTATTGAGCACGTTCGTTGTTATAACGTTTGTTTAGCGCGATTGTTGAAGTTGAGTGTATCGGTAAAGTTGTATTCGGAAAGAATAAACCAGTTTTATTAAGTAAGGACTTGTGTCGCTAAAGTTTCGTAGGAACGAAGTTACGGAAAGTTAATTAACAAACGGAGACGTAACAAAACCATACCAAACTTTCACGTTAATGATTTGTATGTGGCTTCTTGCTTCAATATTCGGGTAATAAAGACATATCCGTTTATCACGTATTTCGCAGTTGGTTCAATCAAGTTGATTGTGCTCAACTGATTTTATCGTGCCGGAAGGTTTATGCTAGTAGTTTAGTTCCTAAACAAACTGGCTGAAAGTTGGTAAATTTGGTAAAACAAACCTTCATGTTTTTTCCTGTTTTTTCTTCATTCCAAAGTTGAGTTTAAAATATTTACTGCCTGAATAAAAATGGTTATTTTTGTTAAATTTCTCTCAGTCAGTTTACCTATGTAGAGAGCAAAAATGTTAAAGATTAGACATATGAAAACCAACAGATGTTTTGTATTGAATCACACCTGCGTGGAGAAAACATTAACTTATGGTTGTACTCGTATTGTAATAAAGGCTCTTTGCTAGCCTGAAACGAACTTTATAGCAAAAGCAACGAATTGTAAGCAGTCTATTATTTTTCTTGTAGTCTCGGTGTTTCTATGTTTAAACTACTTAAATAAAAGAAAACGAAACAACCTCTGGATAACAGATGAAAATTAATTAAACACAGGTAAGAAAACGTTCGACAAGCAACAGGTTAGACCCACATATTAATAGATACTGCGTTAGGTCGGTACTGATGTTAACCAGAACTATGTACCTTCTACCTTAGAACACATTTATAATTTAAACAAAAACCTACTTCAGAGTGGACGGGTCTATAATATTTTCATTTAATTACCTTATATTAGGGTGTAAGGTAACTTTTTTTTTACTTTTTATTTACAGTATTCTTCCTTTTCAACGACTCTGTTAATATCTAACAATATGGTAGAAACACAAACGCCTGAATTCGTGTGGATTGTTGTCGTAGCTTTTATAATTGCCTTCCTTCTCGCTTTCGGTGTGGGAGCTAACGATGTCGCCAACTCATTTGGAACATCCGTGGGTTCTAAGGTTCTGACGTTGCGACAAGCTTGTATCCTAGCAACAATATTTGAGACGCTAGGCGCCATTCTTATTGGTAAGTTTTTATAATTAGCTATATAATGCTAAGTAGAATGCGTAAATTTGTTTTAAGGGAGCAGTTTTAATAAAGCTTGTCACAACACTTTCGAAAAGAAATTCACAGGTCTGTAGTATGAAATGCACAGCCAAAAATTGTTTTGATATGAGTGAAGTATAAATTCAGAAACAGTATATAAACCTTTCTAATACGTAAATTTATAACGATATAGAAAGGCAAATTAAATCTTTATAACAGCGAAACTTTATTCTATTATAAGTGTATAGCTATAAAAATAAAGCAAATGTTCCTAACTTTTCTTATATAAACGTATGAAAACACACTGAGAACGCCTTTTGCATGACTTTGTATAGCCTATAACTCGCATGAATATGAATAAATGCTCGATGATATGACTCAACATCAACATCATTCACACCCAAACTGTAATAGCCAGTCACATAAACAATTGAAGTATAGAAATACCATCTATAAGTTAGAAATACCAATTGTACGACACTCTAACTTATAATGTCATTCCTTATTTACAATTCCTAGAAATGAATTGTAATCAACATTTAAGAGTATAAATAATCAATACCAAAAATTGGAGGAACATTTAGTCACGTCTCAATAACTCCGAGCTTTTTTGATCACATGCTTTTGGAAATATTTCAAAGTGTTATTATAAATATGTTATTACAATTGAATTTAATGCTAAAATTTTCTTGTATTTCAATATTTTAGTGGTCAGTTACTGATACTCCTGAGAGTAACGTGCGTTATTATTAAGGTCAAAAGAGCTCATAACCAAGCTGTGGGTGATAAGTTTTTAAGATCTTTATATATATATATTTCAAAATGTAAAGTCAGCTTTTTAAAATCTCAAAATGTCTTCTGTTTAACTAAAACTACTCTCACTACCATCGAAATCGTAATTATTCCACAAATCAGTAGTGTGTCTTGCGGCCAAAATAAATAAATAAATAACAACCTGCAGGACACTCTATGCGTTATTAACAGGAGTGATAGTTTAGCGATTTTCCACCTTCTGTAGCTCGGACTGTGATATCCCAACCATCACACATCTTCAAGGTATGTGCTCTACTGGACTCTTACTTCACATACCAAATTTCAAAACATTACATTAATCAAGAAATACCTGAGATATAACATCTCTGATTTTGAGTGAGTTTCTTCCAATTTTTTTCTTCTCACCGAAAGTACAAAAACTATATTTGATAAAAAACATACCTAACTTTTATGGATTTTTTTTTTCAAGTTTGGTACAACGATAAATCTTTACAACCTACAAATTTCGTTTGGTGTAAGTGTAAGCCACAGGTGCAAAGTTATTAAACAAAAACCGTTCAAATTTAATGAAAATTTTTGCGCACGCCTACGCAAAAAGTCACGTGAACTATCGGTCTAACATTTTTACTACTGCTTCAACTAAGAATAAAATCGGACCGTTTTTAGTTTTTTTTTGTCATTCGGGTTAAAGACGGTTGATTTAGAGCACCAAAACTATAAGGTGAAAGGACGTGCAGATACATAAGTATTGGTTAGGCCAAGCAAACTAGATTAGGAGTTTCTAGCTCAAGTTTTCAAAAGAATAATACGGGTGTACGGTATTATTGGTTATTTATGGCCAATTTTTCAGCACAAATTTACTAAACCTTATGAAATTATCCTAATTAAAGATAGTTTAGCTTCACGTGATATTAGCTTAAGCAATTAGAGGAAAAACTACCACCATATATTTTATATAATCTGGTTGGTTCTGTAAAGTAAAGGTCTGTTCCGAATGATAGTGTTGCGATCCTAAAACTAATGTTCGTTACTATCGATTGTCACTTTCTTACTTGCTGTGAAGTGTTGGTGTATATTGACAAAAAGTCATGATATCTAATCAAAAACATCTTAGGTGTGAAAAACAAATGTGCGGCCAAAGAAAAAAAAAGGGATTCAGCGTGTGACTTAAGGGAACTAAATCAAAATTAGTGGCCAAACTGGTAGATACATTTATAGCATTGATAGGAATTTTACGACAAATATTTATTCATTAGTTAACTAGGACGCGCACTTTATCTTACTCATCATCATGCCCAAAGTTGAACAAAAAATGCGGCCTGGCTAACTGATGAATGAATATTTGCTGTAAACTTCTTATCAAAGCTATAAGTATGGCTACCAGTTTGTCCGCAAATTTTAGTTTCATTCCTTTAAGTCGCACGCTGAATCCTTTTTTTGGCCGCACCTTTTTTTTTCACACCTAAGGTGTTTTGGATTAAATTGTTGTAGTTACAAACCCACATTAAATGTTGTTGTTTTTTTAAGCAAGATTTTTAAAAAAATAAATTTTATTTATAAACTTATATACATATTTATAATATTAATATGCTTTTTAAAATAGTATATCAACATATAACGTAACGTTACTTCTACAAAAATTACAATTTCTTGTAATTTTCTAGGGTACAAAGTTTCAGATACGGTCAGGAAAGGAATATTTCAATTAGAAATGTATGAAGGTGCAGAAAAAGAACTATTAATAGGGAATTTAGCTGCATTAATAGGTAAGTTTTAACTTTGAACCTTTTACTATACAAACTTTTGTAGAATTATGGTCACCATTTGTATCTTAGGTAATTCCCAATAATATATTTTACTGGAATTATTTGTTCCTTTTCTTAAAGAAGAATTTATTCTGTATCGAAGTTATCATTTTAAAAAGGTCATTTATATCAACTACACTCGACTACACTACACAAGTAATTTTCATAAATTACAATAATATTATTATGTTATTATTCGCCAAATTAATTCGAAAATGGAAACTTCGAGATTTTTCAATACTGTAAAATAATTACTGGATACAGCAGCGTACCCAGCGTACTTTGTTTTTTTACTTTAGAACATTGTAGAAATAATGAACAATATGTACTCATAGTTCGAACATTTCAATTTTGTCTATAATTTAAATATGGAAGCATTTTAAGGACTAATGTTTTCAACTTCAATTATTTGAGCTTTTTTGGTAATTAAATAGATATATATATATATATAAAAGGTGTGTTCGTAATAGAATTGTTGTCGACGGCTTTAGAACCTCATTACAAGTAGAATATTTGGTTTTAAAACTTGATGAGAAAAGTACAGACAAATGAAAGAAAGTAATATATATATATATCAAATACATGACCGGGCGTGGCAAGTTCTCAGCGTGCCCGGACATTGAATCGGATAATTAGTGATTCGCATCCAGTTGCCGCAAAAGCGCGTTTCAAACATTGAGATCGCGAATGTACTATAACAGTGACGTCAAACCTCGGCATTCGTCAGGAGGTACTATCCATCTACAGAGTAGCAGTTCATGTTGGGAATGTCTATTCTAAGATAGCCCTCGTATAGCTTTGCGCGAAAATCCTAAGAACAAACAAAAAATAGCATAGATACGAAATGCAGTATAAATTACTTTAATTGAACGAAAGCTCTATTTTTGAATTTGAAAAGAAAACTGCGCAATCCGTGTACCCGATTTGTTTCGTCATATCTTACGCTAAAAAGTGTTCTCTTCACTCGGGATTGAATGTGCGTTGCCCATATATAGTTTGTTTGTTTTTTGAATTTCGCGCAAAGCTACACGAGGGCTATCTGCGCTAGCCGTCCCTAATTTAGCAGTGTAAGACTAGAGGGAAGGCAGCTAGTCATAACCACCCACCGCCAACTATTGGGCTACTGTTTTACCAACGAATAGTGGGATTGACCGTCACATTATAACGCCCCAACGGCTGAGAGGGCGAGCATGTTTGGTGGGACGGGGATTCGAACCCGCGACTCGCAGATTGCGAGTCGAGTGCCCTAACCACCTGGCTATGCCGGGCCCCCATCTATAGAAATGATGAAGAAACGATCTGGATGTCGATATTGTTTTAATTATCTCATTACAATCGATATTATTATTTTTAATATTCTAAAGAACCTTGTTTATTTATCTATATATATATGTGTATATATACGTATACTATAACGCATATTAACTTGCGAGTAACATAAAAAAAAAGCTTAGCAGATCCTAGTGATTAGTAATGTTCAGCTCGCAATATGCGAGTAGCGGAATCAAAACCCGTAGCCTAACATGTTCCTCCTTTCATTTGTGGAAGCGTTATAATGCGACGGCCAGCAATTCCAAGAGTTGGTGGTGGGTCGTGTTCTAGTCTATCATTTCAAAATTATGGGCAGTTGGCTCAGATTGTCCTCGAGTAGCTTGGCACGAAACTTCAATAAACAAAAACGTCATGAAGATAAGTAAAATAAGGCAATCGCATTTGAGTTAGTTAATAGCGTACATCAAAAAAATGTTTTCTTTTGTTTCACTTCACACTTCATATACCTTATAGTCAGGTTGTCGAAACGTCGGGCTTTCGTTATTATTTTAGCTGGCGTGAATTTGAATTTATATTCAGTGTAGTTTGTTTACGTTTAAGTGTAAAGCTACACAATGTGGGCTATCTGCGCTGTGCTCACTGTGGGTATCAAACCCTCTATTATTTCCGGTATAAGCCCTAAACTTACCACTGAGCCACCTGGTGGCACAACTGTAACAAAAAGATATGAATACGTTTACAACCATTCAGAGTACTTGGCAATTTAATAACAAGTTATAATTTCCAGATTAATTTAGGACGACTCTTTTGAAATTAGGTATACGAGTTTTTTCTAAGTTCCAGCTGTGTAGCCTGATGCAGTACTATATTTAAATATAAACACATTATCTACTATAGAACGTCTATTTTAGTTACCACCCGCTGTTCAAGTTTTTCCTGCAGATGTCAAAACTTTTTAGTTTCTGGATGAAAAAAGTGAGAATAAGAAGAACGGAGTTAGCATTATATATCTGTGTCGCCTAGTGATAGCTTTTGAAACTTGATGCCCGCCGTTATACATTTTTCATTTTTAATTCTGTTACAAGCATCGAGCTAGAAACAAAGAGTTTAGGGCTCCAAAAGTAACATAAACGTTTAACGTAAACAAGTTAAAAATAGGAGCCAAACAAAGATTGTAAACAATCTTCAGTCATTGAAATAGTAAAACAATCTTATAAAACTAGTTAAGACAAATTATTATTACTCATTCTATAAAATAATATTAAAAATGAGAACATAAAAAACTACATTGTTTTTAATAAATATTATGACTCATTCCATAAAGTAATATTAAAAATGAGAACAAAAAACTACATTGTTTTTAATAAATATTATGGCTCATTCCATAAAGTAATATTAAAAATGAGAACATAAAAAACTACATTGTTTTTAATAAATATTATGACTCATTCCATAAAGTAATATTGAAAATAAGAACATAAAAAACTACACTGTTTTTAATAAATATTATGACTCATTCCATAAAGTAATATTGAAAATGAGAACATAAAAAACTACACTGTTTTTAATAAATATTATGACTCATTCCATAAAGTAATATTAAAAATGAGAACATAAAAAACTACATTGTTTTTAATAAATATTATGGCTCATTCCATAAAGTAATATTAAAAATGAGAACATAAAAAATACACTGTTTTTAATAAATATTATGACTCATTCCACGACGGAGAATCGAGTCCCAGATTTTAGAGTTTTAAGTTCGTAAACGTACCGCAAAACCAGCTGGAGACCATCAAAAATTACAGAAATGTAACAGTTAAAACACTGAACGTTGAATTTAAAGGCCAGTCTTCATTATGGTTTAATAGAGATATGTTAAGTGTATCGCTTCATCCACCTTATAAATGCCACGATATGACTGACATGACACTTTTTTATTTCCAGTCCTTGCCTGATTTGACTGACAAAACATTTTTGATCTCAAGTCGTTGCATGATCTGACTGACAATACTTTTTTCAGCTCAATTTCTTGCATTATCTGACTGACATGACACCTTTTTGATCTCCAGTCCTTGCCACATCTGGCTGATGTGATATTTTTTGATTTCCAGTCCTTACATGATCTGACTGACATAGCATTTTTATCTCCAGACCTAGCATGATCTGACTGACGTAGCACTTTTTGATCTTCATGTACATCCAAAGTGTGTATATTAGGTTATTAAATGTAAAGTTTTGTGGCAGTAGCTTCAGAAACAGGGCATTTCTTTTCTGATTTGCAAGAACATTTTACGTATAAGAGGCAGCAATGTTTGAACGTATCACGTGCATTTTTTGTGTGGTTTTTTTTTAGCGTTCATTGTTTTGAGTGTATAGCTTTTTGTATCTGATAAGAATCGACGTTATATGCCAGATGGCAAAACACATAAATTCTGAATGTGTTATAAGTATCCACTAATACGATCTCTTTATTTATATTATTATTCCCTAGAAAACATGACAGTGAATGATGCACTATAAATACCCTGTCTATTGCCAGTTAATCACGTGATCTATAATAATAACGAATGGTGCACTTGAAGTGACGTATCCAATGCTAACTAATCACATACTGAATTAAGCTGAGCGTAAATAATATAAGATGTGATAAAACCAAGAGGTGATATTTGTATATTCTAGGTCAATAACTAGTGGTGGGAGTTCTTCCATACTAGAATTTCGAAAACAGATAACTGTTTTTGAGTTAACTGATAATGTTTATTCTAAGAAAACTCTTCATCGGTATAACGTTATCACGTCATTGCAACATACGTCATTGTTCTTGCACTGCGTAAAATTTGATATAGATTTATAGCGAATTACAGAGTTGTCATAAATTATGTTTAAAAAATAGCTGATGGTAAAAATAATGTTATAAAATCGTAAAACTTTTATTTAACCTCTTATTTTAACTAGTGTTAAAAACGCAAAAAAATAATAATATTGGATTAAGCGGATTTTTTTTAAATCACTAATTATAAATTATTAACAAACATAGTTGAATTATTTGCGGGTTTTAAAATTTTTGCTCAAAGCTATACTCATCAACAGTACCAACCGTCAATTTTTGCGCTACATTTGTCTGATAGAGTAGTAGAATTTGACCATCATTTTTATAGCGCACCCACGGCCCTAAAAGGGAAGTGCGCGTCTTTGCGGCAGGGGCGCACACCAAGAAACGTCAGATTCACAGTTTGGGTACGCTATATGTAGTATAGATACAGATGGAAGTTGAAGTTAATGGTTGTACTTTCTCAGAAAGCGTGGATGATTAATCATATTATCAAATTCAAAATGAATTATATATTGAAAATTTTCGTTTAACGGGGATTCATATACTGTACTTACCTAAGGCAGTTGCTTCTGAGATGTAGGCTCAACACGAGATTTGACTTTAACCTGGAAACGAAACTAAAACTGACGCAAAGTGTTTATTTTTCCCTATTTTCTTTAAAGCAAATATTGAAATGAATTATATGGCATAACACGAGAAAGAGTGACCATTTGTAGTTGCAAATTTCAATCTGTGATTTGAACATTAATAAACAAACAACTTATTAGTTTTCTTGACGTAATTAATTACTTAAATTTCGTTATATTCATATTTCTATAAATGTAGATATGTGTCAACATGATGCAAATAGTTG